GCGTTTCATTTGACAAAGCTTGCTGATTAATGATATGCAGAATGGCCAACCGTCTGCCCCACCGCCGCCCTCTCCTTTTAAATATTACAGGGGCGAAACTGGAGTTTGCTTCGCGTCTTGAGTTGGGTGTCGTCCCGAGCTCGTGACCCTTCTGGACTGTGATTGCAAAGTCGGGAGACTTGTCGACACCAGAGATAGCATCGCTTCGCACGCCTGGCGGAAAATAGGCCTGGGCGTTTCATATATATGTATATATATATATATATGTTTATATGTATATATATATATATATATATATATATATCCTATGCGTTTCCTATATGTTTCCGATACGTGTCCTACATGTTTTGTATACGTTTCCTAGAGGTGTTGCGTACGTTTCCTATATATTTTGTTACGTGTTCTATATGTTTGGTATACGGTTGCTGTATGTTTCCTACACGTTTCCTGTACGTTGTGTATACGTTTCCTATTGGAGGGGATACGGGGAAACGAGGGGGAAAGGAAACCAGGAAACAACGAACGTAGGCGTGCACAGTGATCCGCCACCGTGCCCCTGGGCACGGAGTGGTTCCAAAACGTCCCAAGAGGCCCCCAGGAGCGCACCGAAACAGCCCAAGTGGCTTCCAAGAGGGCCCCGAGACGGCCCAAGAGAGCCCCAAAACGGCCCAAGAGGCGCCAAAGACGCCCCAAGAGAGCCCCAGGAGGCCCCAAGAGGCTCCAACGAGACCCCCAAGAGGCCCCCAGGAGGCCCCCAAGAAACCCCAAGAAACCCCCAAGACGGCCCAAGAGGCCCCCGAGACACCCAAAGGGCGCTCCAGGACGCCCAAGGTGCGCCCAAGACAGCCCGAGAGGCCGCCAAGAGCGCCCCAAGAGGCCTCACAACAGGGCCCCGAGACGCCCAACTCGCCAATTCTACAATGGTTTTTGAACAGCTTTGGCTTTCCCGCCTTTTTTGATGTCCGACGCTCCAAGACGGCCCAAGAAGCCCCCAGGAGGGCCCCGAAACGGCCCAAGAGGCTTCCAAGAGGGCCCCAAGACGGCCCAAGAGAGCCCCAAGACGACCCAAGAGGCGCCCACGACGACCCAAGAGAGCCCCAAAACGACCCAAGAGCCGCCCAAGACGCCCCAAGAGAGCCCCAGGAGGCCCCAAGAGGCCCCAAAGAGGCCCCAAGAGGCCCCCAGGAAGCTACCGAGAGGCCCCAAGAGGCCCCCAAGAGGCCGACTGATGCCCCCAGCCGCCGCCGTCGCCGCGACCGCGGCGGCGGCCGCGGCGGCGGCCGCGGCGGCGGCTCGCACCCAGGGCCCGGTCTGCCCTATTACTACTACCGCTGCTACTACTAATACTACCATTACTACTACTACTACCACTACCACTACCACTACTACCACTACCACTACAACAACTACTACTACTACTACTACTACTACTACTACTACTACTACTACTACTACTACTACTACTACTACTACTACTACTACTACGACTACTACTACTACTACTACTACTACTACTACTACTACTACTACTACTACTACTACTACTACTACTACTACTACTACTACTACTACTACTACTACTACTACTACTACTACTACTACTACTACTACTACTACTACTACTACTACTACTACTACTACTACTACTACTACTACTACTACTACTACTACTACTACTACTACTACCACTGCTACTACTAGTACTACTACTCCTACTACTACTACTTCTTCTGCTATTTCTACTACTACTACGACGACTACTAGTACTACTACTGCTACTGCTACTGTTACTACGACTACTACTACTACTGCTACTACTACTACTGCTACTATTGCTAGTATTGCGACTACTACTACTACTACCTACTGCTACTACTACTACTATACTACTACTACTCACTACTACTACTACTACTACTACTGGTATAGTACTACACTACTACACTACTGCTACTGCTACTACTACTACTACTACTAGTACTACTATACTACTACTACTACTACTACTACTACTACTACTACTACTACTGACTACTCTACTTACTAACTACTTACTACTACTACTACTACTACTACTACTACTACTACTACTACTACTACTACGACTACTACTACTACTACTACTACTACTACTACTACTACTACTACTACTACTACTACTACTACTACTACTACTACTACTACTACTACTACTACTACTACTTACTACTACTACTACTACTACTACTACTACTACTACTACTACTACTACTACTACTACTACTACTACTACTACTACTACTACTACTACTACTACTGCTACTAACATTACTACTGCTACTACTGCTGCTGCTGCTGCTGCTAATACTAATACTCGTACTCCTACTAGTAGTCATGCTACTGACGTCAGACATCGTACCAATCATACGACGCTTGCCCTTGTCCCCGCATGCATGCCTTCTACGAGCTGTTCCTCATCTTGCTGCTCCACCCCCGTGCTCCCCCCTGGTGCTCCTCCTCCCTGCGCTGCTTCCTCCCCGCTATCCGCCCTGGTTCCCGTCGTCTTCTTGTTCTCCTCCTATCCTCCTTCCCCCTTTTCCCCGTCCCAGAAGCCCCAGTGCCGCCCCGATCACCCGTGAGCAACCCTGAAGTTCGCCTCCTCTTCCTCTTCCCAAGGCTCGAGTTAAACAGTGTTTTGGCGATTTCCTGAACCGTTTTCGTTTTGTTTTTTTTTGCGACAAAGGCGGGAGAGACAGAACGAGGAAGGCCGACACCACAACGAATACGAATTAGCCTGTTCGGTGGAGCTCCCCTATGGTGCCACGAAGCGTGTGAGAGATGTGCCGAAATTGAGGATGGAACCGCATGCGGCGGAGCTCCTTGTGAGACCACGAAACGTGTGAAGGGTGTGCAAACATGGAGGGTGTAACCACATGCGAACCCTGCCACTGAGGCCTTCGGTGGCAGGCCGCCGGTTTGGACGCCCGCCTCGGCAGCTGGTGAGAGCCGCCCGCCATCGGCAGGCGCGAGCCTCGTGCCACCTCTCACGCGCCGCCCGCCGCGCCCTGCTCGGCGCTCCCAGAGCGGTCCCGTCTGCTCGGGGACGGCGGTGTGCTGGAGGCGCGCGGGCGGCCCAGGCACTGCCTGAACGTGACCTGGCGCTTGGATTCGGCTGCGTGGTGAGCGCCTGCCACCTCGCGCCGCGACCTGGGCGCGGATCCGCGCTCCGCAGCGTCACCGGGCCCGCTGCCTGGCAGCGCGGCGCTGGGCGCAGCGACGGCCCCGGAGCCCAGGCCCCCCGCGTCGCCTGGAGCTGTGTCGGCAGCATGAGCGCCGGAACCGCCGTGACCATCGGCGGCGTGCGGGGCGGCGGTAGGCGCTGAGGCGACGGGGCCGCCCGCTGCCACCGCTGCGCCGCCTTCAGGGGCCGCCCCACCGCCGCCACCTGGCGCCTGCACGAACGCGCCGTAGAGCTGCTGCAGCAGGCCGGTCACGACGGCCTGCGCCCCGGGGGCGGGGGCGGCAGCAAGCGCCGCGAAGGCTGCGTCGAGCCTTCCTGCGGGGGGCACCGGGTCCTGGCGCCGGCCTTGCGGCGCCGCCAGCGGCCGCCTCGGCCTGCGCGGCCGCCAACGTCCGCTGCGCGGCGGCCTCCTCGGCTGCCGCGCGCTCCGCCTCCTCCTGCTTGGCCGCCGCCGCCGCCTGCGCCGCCCGCTCGGCCGCCGCCTGAGCGTCGTCGGCGCCCTGCCGCGCCTGCAGGGCCGCCTCGGCGCGCGGTGGCGCAGCGCGTCCGTGGTTGCCGACTGCAGCCTGCGCTCGAGAGGCTGGGCTGCGCGCTCCGCCTCCGCCAGCGCTACCTCCTCCACCTCCCACCGCGCCACCTGAGCGGCAAGCTCCCCGAAGCCCCGGTTCGCCGCCAGGCGGGCGCGCGCAGCTGCCAGGCGTTCCCCAGCCGTCGGCTCGGCCATCGTGGCATCGGCGGCCTCCGCAGCCGCCGCCGCGCCGCCCCCAGCCGCAGGCGCTGCCTCCGCGGCTGGACGGGCCGCCGCGTCGCCTTGGTACCCCGCCGCCTGCGGGACCCAACGCGTCCTCGTGGCGGGCCGGGGCCCCCAGCTCGCCTGCACCACTCGCGCGGAGGGCGCGTCTGCCAAGCGGGGGGCGCGGCGGCCGCAGCCCTTGCAAGCCGCGCACCACGCCCAGTTGTCGTTCACCCCGCATGGGCAGCCCTAGGTCGGCTGGCAGGGGCCCGCCAGCCTGTCGGCAGGGCCACCATCCCGAACCCCAGCTCCACCCCGTGGCTGCTGACGCTGCTGCTCCTGCTGTCGCCGCTGCCGTCTGCCCGATCCATCCCCAGCAGCCGCGCCCGCCGCCCCCGCGCCGAGCAGCGTCTGCAGCGCCGCTAGCGTCTTCCGGTCGGAGCGGAATGGCCCCCCGCCAGGAGCCTGCTGCCCGCGGTCGCGGCGGGGGGGCACGTGGCGGCTGTGGTGTTGCCGCAGCAGGCAAGCCGCCTGGCCAAGCCGCACCAGCACGCGCGCCTGCCCGCGCGCCCGCCGCTGCCGCTGGTGCTTTGCCGGGCTGCCGGTGCGTGGTTCATGGGCCGCCGTCGCGGCCTCGCTTGGGCCCAGCCCCAACCCCATAGTGCAGCGGACGCGCCCCCGCGCGCGCGCTGGCTGAGAGAACCTTGAGCCAAAATGGCTTGAGCCGAAATTGCTTGAGCCAAAATGGCTACGGACCAGCTTGCACGCGACACGCAGTGTGGCAGCCGCGACGCGTTGCACCGCTCGGTGCCGAAAAGTCCACCCACCATCCGCTGCGCAATGGATGAGCGTTCAGGCAATGCTTTGGTGGCGCTCCTGGGGGGACGCGAGTAACGGAAAAGTTTCTCAGAGGGCGGCGGGGCTTCTCAGAAGCCCTCGCGCCTTTGAAAAGCAGCCCCGCCGCCCGACGAGGACCACGACGACGACGACGACGACGGCGGCGACGACGGCGGCGGCGGTGGCGACGGCGAGCGTGGGCATCCGGAGGTGGCCCGCCTGCGCGCGTGCCGCCGGCACTTCTTCCGCCCCTGCTTGCGGCGCCGCTCGTGTGGTACTTCTGCGAGGCCGCGCCACCGCCGTCGCCGTCGCCGTCGCCGCCGCCGCCGCCGTCGCCGCCGTCGCCGCCGTCGCCGCCGTCGTCGACATGTTCGTCGTCGTCATGTTCGTCGTCGTGGTCGTCGTCGTCGTCATGTTCGTCGTCGTGGTCGTCGTCGTCGTCGTCGTCGTCGTCGTCGTCGTCGTCGTCTTCCACCTCCACCTGACCTTCCTCCCTCCCTCCCTCCCGCCTCTGTCCTCCCTCCCTCCCCTCCCTCCCTTCCCCCTCCGTGCTCCGTCCTCGGTCCTCCGTCTTTCTTGCCCCTCCACCCTCCGTCGGCCCCTTCCGTCGGCCCCCTCCGCCCTCCGTCGGCCCTCCGCCCTCCCCCTTCCCTCTTCCCCTCTCCCTCCTCACCCTCCCTCCTCCCTCCCTCCTCCCCCTTCCCCCCCCCTGCTCCGCCTGGGGGCACCCGAGTGGGTCCCCGCCTCTGTCACAAAGGGGGACCCTGGGGCGTTAGGGTGCACTTCTTGGGGTTCACATCAGCCTCTGCGTCCTTGCTCCCTGCCTCCACTCCTCCATCCCCCCTGCTCCCTCCCCCCCCCAGAGGCCAGCTGGTCGGCGCTGGTGGCAGCCAGCCTGCTGTGCCGCGAGAAGATGCACGAGCGCAAGGGCGGGGTCTCCTTCTTTGGGAGCGGGATCGATGATGAAAATGATGATGATGATGATGGTTGTGGTGGTGGTGGTGGTAGTGATGATGATGGTGGTGGTGATGATGGTGATGGTGATGGTGGTGATGGTGGTGGTGATGGTGATGATGATGATGATGATGATGATGATGATGATGAGAAGGATGGTGGTGGTGGTGGTGATGATGCTGATGCTGATGATGCTGCTGCTGATGATGATGATGGTGATGATGCTGATAGTGGTGATCATAATGATGTTGATGACGATGATGATGCTGATGGTGATGATGACGATGACTATGGCGATGAGGGCGATGATGATGACAACGATGACGATGGTGATAACGATAATGATGGCGATGAAGATGGTGCTGATGATGATGTTGCTGATGCTGTTGATGATGATAATGATGATAATGATGATGCTGCTGGCGATGATGATGATGATGTTGTTGACGATGATGCTTGCGATTATGATGATGATGCTGATGCTGGTGGTGCTGGTGATGATAATGATGGTGGTTGTGACTCTGTTAGTAATGAAGGTAATGATGCTGATGATGATGATGATGATGATGATGATGTTGATTGTGATGGTGACGATGACTATGGCGATTTTAGCGATGATGATGACGACGATGACGATGACGATAACGATGACGATCACAACGAAAATGATGCTGATGATGATGGTGATGATGCTGATAATGATGATGATGGCGATGCTGGCGATACTGATGATGATGACGATGGTGATGGTGACCATGCTGATGATGCTGATGATGGTGGTGACGATGCTGATGCTGCTGCTGTTGATGATGATGGTGCTGCTGATGGCTATGCTGAAGACGAACACTATGATGATGTTGATGATGACGACGCTACTGCTGATGATGATGCGAATGATGATGATGATGATAATGATGATGACGATGATGTTAACGATGACGACGACAATGATGATGATGATGATGATGATGATGATGATGATGGTGATGATGATGATGATGATGATGATGATGATGATGATGATGGCGAGCACGATGGCGATGACGATAATGATGAGGACCATGATGATGCTGCTGCTGATGATGATGATGTTAATGATGATGATGGTGATCGCGATGATGATACTGATGACAACGACGATGAGATGATGATGATGCTGATGATGGTGATGATGATCATGATACTGCTGATGGTGAGGGTGATGATGATGATGAATGATATGATGATGATGATACTGATGATGCTGTTGCTGATAAGGCCGATGATGGTGGTGGTGATGATGATGGTGGTGATGATGACGATGATGAGGACGGGTGAGGAAGATGAAGATGATGATGATGATGATGATGATGATGATGATGATGATGATGATGATGATGATGATGATGAACATCCTTATTCTGACGATGATGGTCTGGATGTTGATGATGATGATGATGCTGATGATGCTGATGCTGATGATGACGATGATGATGATGATGATGATGATCTTGATGATGCTGCTGCTGTTCATGATGATGATTCTTTGATGGTGATGCTTATGGTTTCGATGATGCCGATGATGATGCTGCTGATGCTGATGCTGATGCTGATGATGATGATGATGATGATGATGATGATGATGATGATGCTGATGATGATGATGATGATGATGATGATGATGATGCTGTTGCTGATGATGATTGTGATAATGATGATGATAACGATGATGATTACTATCATGATGCTGATGTCGATGCTGCTGCTGATGATGATGATGATGCTGCTGATGATGATGATGATGAGGATGATGATGATGATGATGGTGGTGGTGGTGGTGATGATGATGATGATGATTATGATGATGATGATGATGACGATGATGATGATGCTGATGATGATGATGCTGATGATGATGCTGATGATGATGATGACGACGACGATGATGCTCATGATGATGATGATGATGATGATGATGATGATGATGATGATGATGATGATGATGATGATGATGATGATGATGATGATGCTGATGATGATGATGATGATGATGATGATGATGATGATGCTGCTGATGATGATGATGATGATAATACTAATAATTATAATGCTGTTGGTGATGATTATTGCTAGTTATTATTTTTTTTGCGTTCTCTGATGGTTTGTTGATTTTGACCGTTGGTGATAATGATGATGCTGATGAGGATGCTGATGATGACGACGACGACAATGACAGCGGCAACGATGACGATTGTGCGGACGATTATGAGGATGAGGGTGAGTAGGGTGAGTAGGAGTAGGAGTAGGAGTAGGAGGAGGAGGATGAGCAGGAGGAGGAGCAGGATCAGGAGCAGGCGGAGGAGGAGGAGGAGGAGGAGGAGGAGGAGCAGGCGGAGGAGGAGGAGGAAGAGGAGGAGGAGGAGGAGGAGGAGGAGGAGGATAGGAGGAAGATGAGGTTGAGGCGGAGGAGGAGGTCGCTGATGATACTGGTGAGTTAGGGAAGAGGTAGTGGGTGCCACGGCTCCGACAGGTCCCGCAGGTCCCACAAGTCCCGTAGGTGTCGCAGGTCTCACAGGTCCCGCAGAGGTCCCCCAGGTCCCACAGGTCCCAGGTCTCGCGGGCGCCACAGCTCCCACAGGTCTCGCAGGTGCCGCAGTTCCCACAGCTCCCACAGGAACCGCAGGTCTAACAGGTTCCACAGGGTTCAACGCTCTGCTTCAACATATCATGCAACCGCTCCACGGGCGAGGTGTTTACTCGGCGAACACTACCGCCTCCGTTTCCACCAATCTCCGTTTCACAGACGGCATCATGCTGGTCAGCCAAACCTTGCCCAACCTAAAGACCGTGCTGACAGACTTGACCAAGTCAGCAAAGCCCCATGGTCTCGAAATCCATCCCACCAAGACGAAACTCATGAGCAATAAACTCCGCACCTGGACACGTGCAGTCCAGGCGGCAAGCATGGACATCGACGTACTGCCCCACACTGGCAAAATTACATACCTCGGCCAGACAGACACCGTCAACAACACTTCCGCGACGGCGCGGAAGTTCAACACCGCATACAAGCAGCGTCGGCATGTTTCAAAGATCATAACCAAGAGCTCACGAGCAAGCACTACAAACTCAGCCACGGATTACGGCTTTACCGCGGTACCGTCATACCCACCATGATGTACGGCGCAGAAGCTTTGATACTAACGGAACCTCTGAAACAACAGCTGCGCCGAACTCAACGACGAGTGGTGCGGATGCTTACTGGGACACCACGGCGGCGCACAGGGTCGACTCCCACAGCACCCGCCCTGGCGACAAGCAATCAAGATAGATGCGACCTCTGCTGCAACCAGTCACAAGACTCCAGCGACCACGACGTCTCCAGCAATGCACGCACATCCTGCGACGGTTCACGCGCATGTGAGAGCGAAGCCGGCAAACCACCACACACAGCCAAGCGACGAACGCCAGAAGATATCGAGCTGTGGTCAGATTTTACACGGAGGAGCACCCAGAGGGCCGAGGAACTCATGGAGAAGCACGACATTCGGGATGTTGTCCAGCTTCACCGCAAAGTGTCGTGGCGCTGGGCTGCACAAGTTGCGAACCACACACCGACCCGCTGGACACAACGCGCTCTCAATTGGAAACCCGATAGCCATGCGAAACAGCAGGGATGGCGACGACGCGGTGCTTCAACATACGGAAATATGTATACAGCCTGGAGCAACCACCCAGCGGCGAAGCAGAACAACACTACGCTGGAGGTGCCCCAAACCCACGGCGGCAACAAAGTGGAACCAAAGACGTTCCATGGCTTACGACAGCATTAGACAAGGCATTGTGGGATCGACACGAGGATGATTTTACCAATACCTCCGGATAGCACCGTGAAGGAGCTCTGAAGGCTGAGTAGGCGAGCGGCCACGGCCGCCCCGCGCAGGCCGCTAGCTGGCCCGTCCCCCTGCGGGGACGACTCGCGCGTTGTTCGTTCGTTCGTTCACAGGTTCCACAGGTGCCGCAGGTCTCACGTGCCCCACAGAGCACATAGGTCCACCATGTCGCACAGGTCCCAAAGTCTCACAGGTCCCACAGGTCCCACAGGGCCACTGTTCCCACCTGCCCCACGGGTCTCATAGGTCCCAAAGGCCAAAGAACTCCCACATATTCCATCGCTCCCACAGATAAGTCCAGCAGTCGCCATCTTCCCTACAGGTCTCACAGGTCAGGCCATTAAACGCGTCCGCGGATAGAAATAATGTCAGTGCAATGGGAAGGGATGGGAGGGAGGGCCAGTATGTCAGATGCAGCGCGAGCGCACCTAGCTTGTCCCTTCCCTCTCTCTCCTCCCCCTTCCCAGGAGGACTCCCTCCTTGCGCTTGTGTTCCGGGTTGCCGCCTGCCCATCTTCTCTGGTGGGCTGGGGCGTACGGGTCGGAACTGGGCATGTTGGTACTACGGACCTCCTGCCCTCCCCCTCTCGGCCTCGCCCCCTTTGGAGTGGGCACGCCTCTCTACAGGTCGACGTTGCTGGGGTGCTGTTGGTTGCCCGCTGTGCCCCGCAGCTTCAAAATGCCACCTCGCCAGGAAGTCATCCATCCATCCATCCATCCATCATTCCCCCTCCCCCCTCCACTTCCCCAGTGTGTGGGGGACGACGCCGCGGCACCTCAGGGCCGTAATTCGTGACAGATTTTGGCACATCTTGGCCATACTTCCGGCCACGTTCGCAGGACATGCTGCGACCCCAATTAGGCTTGTTGGGGGGGGTGGAGGTTCCCACAGCTTGCGTCGACTGCAATTCGGGGCGTAACGGTCTGGGGGTCCGTCCGCCGAAGTAGGACGCAACAGCGTAGAGCCAAGGGGTCCGATGGGCCCATGCCGTGACGCCATCGGCCACGCGACCTGGACAACGAGCGAATCCAGCCATGCACGATAGCTTTGCACCACGTAGCTTGCACCAGATGTGTATCGAAGTCATCAGCAGTATATCATAG